CCAGGACATGTGCAGGTTTGGGGAGAGCAGAGTGGAGGCCAGGGCCCCCTGCACAGGGGAATAACCTGAAAAAGGTGAGAACAGTCTGAGACACAATCACTTTGAAATGTTATTCAAACTTGTCATTTTTATTCCTCTCCCAGGAATCAGCAATTGAGCTCATATTTGCTGCTTTTTTCACCACGGCTAGCGCTAGCACCTCTCTGATCCTCCTGCTATTGAAGCACCCCTCAGTGATTGAAAAAATAAGGCAGGAGCTGATGTCCCATGAGTTGTACCAGCAGAGTGAGTGCTGCCCTGCAGGACCCTGCCTGGACACCCTGACCACCCAGAGCAGGGACAGAGAGAAACCACTTTCCCACCCCATGGCCAAAGACATTCACAAGGACCAGAGCCAACCCCCAGCCCCAGTGGAGGAAGATTCCCTCCAGCCCAGTGCCCTGCTGGAGCCCACTGTCCCCCGGAGCAACCCCTGCCCTGGCCCCCAGCTCCCGGCACCACCGGGGCAAAGCTGTCACTGCGCCGCAGAGATCAGCCTGGAGAAGCTGAGCCGCCTGCGCTACCTGGACTGTGTGATTAAGGAGGTGCTGCGAGTGCTGCCCCCAGTCTCCGGAGGCTACAGGACGGCACTGCAGACTTTTGAGCTCGATGTAAGTGCCTCGCTCTCGGGCAGGCTGGTAAAGAGCTGCTGCCTGCCGTTGTGAGCAAGCACCCTGTGTCCTGCGCAGTGGTGGTGCTTGGCAGTGCAGCTCGCCGGGAAGTATCGCCCAGCAACTTCTCTGGGTCCCAGTTGGGCTGGGGAGAAAAGGAACTGTAGAGCAGGTGGGCAGTGCAGTGGAGCTGTCTGCAGGCACCTCTGCTCCAGTAGCACAGGTATGTAACAGTCCTCTCCTCCTTCTTCTCTCCCTTCCCCAGGGCTACCAGATCCCCAAAGGCTGGAGCGTCATGTACAGCATCCGTGACACACACGAGACAGCTGCTGTCTACCAGAGCCCCCCCAGCAGCTTTGACCCAGACCGCTTCGGTGCCGGCCGGCCAGAGGCTGCAGGCCGGTTCCACTACATCCCCTTCGGTGGAGGGGCACGGAGCTGCATCGGGAAGGAGCTGGCACAGGCCATCCTCAAGCTGCTGGCCATTGAGCTGGTCAGCACAGCCTGCTGGGAGCTGGCCACCCCTGGCTACCCCACCATGCAGACCGTGCCCATCGTGCACCCTGTCGATGATGGGCTGCAGCTCTACTTCCACCCCTTGCAGCCCAGCCAAGGCCACGAGGCCTGAGCCAGTGAGGGGTGCACTGCTCCCCTCAGCTCTGGGGCTGATGCCCCTCCACAGCTGCCAGGAGCAGGTTTCTGCTGTACCAGGCTGGGAATGCTACTGGGTCACTGCCAAACAAAACCTTAAAGGTCTTTCTATTTTTTCTCTCCTGGTGCAGAAGCTGGTAGGGTGTGCAGGGTGCTGCAGTAGGTGTCCTGCAGAGTCCCACTCCTGAGCACTGGGGCAAAACCTGCTGAAGCTGCTGGCAGGGTGTATATGCCATGGGGGCTCAGTCAGCCCCTGCCCCATACAGGCCACCAGCTACCAGGGATGGGGAGCAAAACTCCCAGACCCACAGCTAAGACTCCCAGGGTTATCTCCTGTAGGTGTGTTATAGGAGAGGCAGGACAAGCATCCTGCACACTTGTAGCTTTTTTGTAGCTTTTTAGATGAAAAAAGAGGGAAGGTGGGGGGCTCTGCAGGAAAACACAAGCCAGAGTTGCCCAATCCCCAGCATCAACTCTAGATAGAGTAATAGGGTGTAAAGTGCTTTTTATTGTAAATATTTAATCTCATTCATGCACTTCCCATTAGAGCTGGCACAAAGAGGATATCTCTCATTCACCCACTCCTAGTAGCACTGTGCTGCTGCTTGGGGTCTGCCCTGAAGCCATCTCTGAGGTCTCCCCAGGATATTCTCTCCAGCCACAACCTGCCCATGAGATTGGACTGAAGCAGAGGGAGGGGGCTTTGGGGAACAAATGTTTAGAAAGAGACGTTTCTGAATATGTCTGATTTGTGGTAGAAGGTCCGTTGTTCCTGATGATGCTTTTCACATTGCAGAGGGGACATTTGCAAGGTGACACAGGCCCTGTGGTAGCTGGCTGGCTGGCCAGACTGACTGTCACCTCTGTCAGCCCAGCTCTGCCAGGGAAAGTGTCAGGACAGCAGTTCCATACATCCATCCAGGGGGTGGTACCCGAGGCTAACCGTGGGTGCTGAGGGCACCCTTTTAGATGGCTTTTGAGTACCCCTGCAGGATATTTCTCTCTCATGTAAAAATAAAATTTAGTCCTGTTGTTTGTGTACTGAGAACAGAGCTGGGCCCAGGTCCTTGATCTGCAATTACATGTTTATACGTTTCTTTCAGCTTCACTTCTACTCCCCACTGTCATGCATTCTGTGTGAATGCAGTGGGAAAATAATCCTCTGTGTCCCTCTAGAGCATCCCATGCCTGATGGTGTCATGAACTCTGTGTGAAGAACCAGTTTGACCTGTGAGGGCCAAAACATGGCACGAAGACAGTGTCCCTTTGGAAAGGCTCTGGGGAGCTCTCCAATCTCCTGAAACTCTGTCATCATTCTGCTTTGCTGCTAGAGATGGCCTTGCCCTGGCCAATCCTCCTTGCCTGTCTGTGCTGGGGCACTGCAGCAGGGCATGTGCTGGCATTTACTGTGCAGCGATCACCACGCCACCTCGGGCAGAAACCTGGCTCCCAAATGTGACAAGTCAAAGCTGGAAGAGGTTGAACTGCAGGGCTGAGTTAAGTGCTATTGGCAAGCCGACCTGTAGTGAACCAGAGCCTCTGGCCCTCCTGACCTTGTCCTGAAAGGTGAATCTTTTTTGCCTATCAGAGGTGAAATCGGTAGATGGTGGCTTGCAAGTGGCAATGACTAACTTTAATTAGCAGGAGCTGCTGGCTGGCTGAGACCGCAGGCGATTCAGGGTCTCACCGCGGGCAGGGCTCGGGCAGGGCTGGGCCTGCAGCGTCCAGCACCCTGTGCAGGAAGGTCAGGGCTCCTCCAGCAGCGCACTTAAAAATTACCCTGAGCGCCAACAAGCCCGCTGAAAAATGTAACATGAATCTAGTTTAAAAAAAAAAAAAAAGAAACAAAAAGAAACTGATAAACTGATTTTGTTTGCAGATAAACACAAGCATTTACAAATGAAGTGTAATAATTGTTACTTGTAATCAAAGTTTGTTCATATTAGGCTGTTAATTTCTTGACCCCCTTCCAAGATGTTTTTAATTATCCCATTCACTCTTTACCATTTGATTCTTTTCAAGCCGATGGCTGGGGAATACACAGCTGGGAAGATAATAAAGCCTTCCTGTGGCAATTATCGGTGCTCAGGCCACCGTATCTCGTTATTTTGATAGACAGTGAACTTGGCGCGATTGCCGGCCGGGTTCACGCAGATGTCACGGTCCGTGTTGTAGGTCACAAGCAGGTCAGCGCCCGGCAAGGGGAGAGCGCCGGGTCAGGGCGCGGCCGCCGCTCCCGGCCAGCGCCGGCCGGGCTGCGCGGAACCGGCCGGGCCCGCGGCGAACCCCGAGGGGCTACTGCCCCCGGGGCCGGGCGAGTACCCTCGGGGGGCTCCCTCCTGGGCTAGGGGCTGCGGAGGCGGGCAGCCCCGCTCCAACAAGGCATCGTAAGGAGAGGGCGGGTCTCGTGTGATGCGTTGATTGTTAGAAAAATAATAAAAAGTGACATCACCCTCTCCCCTACACAGACACAAAACTTCCAGCGTTTATTGAGCTTGTCTGAGAACAAGAAAGCAAAAGTAACAGGGTAAAAGATAAAAACCGTAAAGAAAAAAAAAGGGTATTGGCAGCAGCCGTGGTCGGCGGAGAGCTCCGCGCCCCGCAGCCGCGGTCCGCGCCGGGTGCCCCTTCCCCAGGGGCCGGCGGCTCCTGCCCGGCGCCAGCAGCAGCCTCAGGCAGCGCAGCCCTCCCGCTGCCCCGCTCCTGCCCGGAGCCGCCGCTCCCGTCCGGAGAGCAGCGCCGCTGCCCGCCCGCCAGCCCCTCTCGCCGCGGCTGCAGGCGGGGTGCCCGGCCGTGCCCAGCGCCTCTTCCCGGCCGCGGCAGCCCCGACGGGACGCCGGAGAGCCTCAGGCGAGGGCGGGCAGTGGATCCCGGGGAGCTGGGAACGGCGAGTTTCGTGTTTCCTTTCCGCGCTCACCTTCTTTTCCCTCGGTGACCCGCGCTTGAACCTGCATCGGGAGGCTGAGACGGACTGCTACCGGCGGCTCCTTCCTCCACGGCCGGCAGAAATACAAGCCGCGCCTTTCGAGGCGAACCAGGGGACAGCGGAGGCTCCTCCGCCGATGCGCAGGCACAGCTGCGCCTCTGCTCAGGGAGTCTCCGGGCTGCCCCAGCACGGGGGACCGTCCGCTCCGGCTGCCCCACGGTCCCGGCCCGGTGTCTCCCGGGTCCGGCCGCTATCTCGCCGTTCCCAGCCGACGACGGTGGCGGGCGGACGCAGGAGCTCCGCAGAGTGCATCGGCGCCGGGAGGTAGAGCCGCGGGGTAGGTGACTCCGGGCTGCCAGGTGCCGGCGCGGGAATTTCTGGGCGCAATCGCTGGTCTCGAAAGAGCATCGGCGATAAATCCGAGGACGAGGAGGCGGTGGTGGCCGACCACCGGCTGTCAGCTGTCGGCGGCGTCCCGCAGCCCACTCACCGAGCGCCGTGCAGGGTCAGCGAGCCCGGAGCCGCTGCCGCCGCCCCCGGCAGCACCTTTCCTTCACCGGCAGCGGTCTGCGGCGGATAGGATGCACTACGCAAAGCAAATAGTTAAAGATTTCGAGGGGAGGAGCCAGGCCGCAATCCGCAATTAAAGATGAACTTTGGGTGAACTAATTTATCGGACCAAGGTAGGGGTGGGCAGCAACCTGGGAAGGGTATAAAAGGCGGCCCGCGGCGAGCCCAGCCCGCGCACTCAGAGCTCCCGGGGGGCTGGGCGGGAGTCGCTCCCCAGTCATGGGCTTCTCCGCCCTAGTCGCCAGCGCCCTGTGCACCTTCCTGCTGCCCCTGCTACTCTTTCTGGCTGCCGTCAAGCTCTGGGACCTGTATTGCGTGAGCAGCCGCGACCCCAGCTGCCCGCTCCCGCTGCCCCCGGGCACCATGGGGCTCCCCTTCTTCGGGGAGACGCTGCAGCTGGTGCTGCAGGTAAGGCCAGGCGATGGCGCGGGGAGCGGAGAGCCGCCCCTCTGGAGCCAGAGCTCCTCGGGCGGCAGGGGAGGGAGATGAGCGGCAACTTTGACAGGCTCCCGTACCCAGGTGGGAAACAGCTGCTCTCCCTGCCACTTCCTCTTATGCTTTCTAAAATTTATTTTATCGTTTCCCCCCTCTCATCCCCTGTCTAGAGGCGGAAATTCCTGCAGATGAAACGCAGGAAATACGGCTTCATCTACAAGACTCACCTCTTTGGGCGGCCCACGGTACGGGTGATGGGCGCCGAGAACGTGCGGCACATCCTGCTGGGCGAGCACCGGCTCGTCTCCGTGCAGTGGCCCGCCTCGGTGCGGACCATCCTGGGCTCGGGCTGCCTCTCCAACCTCCACAACGGGCAGCACAAGCACCGCAAAAAGGTACGGGCCGACGGCGGGCGGGGAGCGGGCGTGGTCGCCCCGGGCGCGGCGGCTGAGCCTCTGTCCCGTTCCTCCTCGTCCCCCCGGGCAGGTGATCATGCGCGCCTTCTCCCGGGACGCCCTGCAGCACTACGTGCCCGTCATCCAAGAGGAGGTGAGCGCCTGCCTGGCGCGGTGGCTGGGCGCCGCCGGGCCCTGCCTGCTCGTGTACCCCGAGGTGAAGCGCCTCATGTTTCGCATTGCCATGAGAATCCTGCTGGGCTTCCAGCCCCGCCAGGCCAGCCCCGACGGCGAGCAGCAGCTGGTCGAGGCCTTCGAGGAGATGATCCGCAACCTCTTCTCCCTGCCCATCGATGTGCCGTTCAGTGGGCTCTACCGGGTAAGGCTCACGGTGGGCCAGGGCACGGGGGAATCGAGGGGGGAGGGATGGCAGTACTAAGACCCAGACTGCTCTCCCTCCTGCTTGGTCAGGGCTTGCGGGCACGCAACATCATCCATGCCAAGATCGAGGAGAACATCCGTGCCAAGATGGCCCGCAAGGAGCCCGAGGGTGGCTACAAGGATGCGCTGCAGCTGCTGATGGAACACACCCAGGGTAACGGCGAGCAGCTCAACATGCAGGTAAGGTTCCTCAGGACCGGATTAATCTCTTTCCCTCAGGCTCTCTAAGTACATCATACTTACCTTGTGGGGACAAAAGGGAGATGCAGGAGATGCTCTCCCGATGAAATAAACCAGCTAGTGTTGAGGACTAGGGTGCAGAGGCTGCAGTCAGGCTGTTGGATGGGGAGACATGCCCACAGGGAGCATAAGCACCACCAGCCACCTCCATCCAGACCCCTGGGTGTCTGTTCCAGTTTGGGGATGATGTACAGCATTGCAGTGGTTGAGTGGTAGAGATACTGTGTTCAAGCCTCTTCTATCCTTTGTATAAGGAGCTGAAGGAGTCTGCCACAGAGCTGCTGTTCGGGGGCCATGAAACCACTGCTAGTGCTGCCACGTCACTGATTGCCTTCCTAGGGCTCCACCATGAAGTCCTGCAGAAAGTGAGGAAAGAGCTGCAGGTCAAGGTTTGTGTCTTCCCTAGAGGCATTTCACAGGAGGGGGCAGTGGGAGGAAGGTACCTCGAGGACAGGAATCCCAGACAGGGCTGCCTTTGACCCAGGTGGTGCCCTGCTTTTAGGGGTGTCAGGAAAATACTGCTTTTAGCTGAGGGGCAGCTGCTTTGCAGTGCCAGGAGCCCTGGCTGGGTGGTTCATGAATGTCATGGTAGCATTTTCCTTTCTAGGGGTTACTGTGCAGTTCCAACCAAGAGAAGCAGCTGGACATGGAGGTCTTGGAGCAGCTGAAGTACACAGGCTGTGTCATCAAAGAGACCCTCAGGTTGAGCCCGCCTGTTCCGGGAGGATTTCGGATTGCACTCAAGACCCTTGAGCTAAATGTAAGCAAGGTTTGGGCATAACTCCTCAGAGCAGCTGCAAAGTATTTTGTGTTCATGTAGCCTGTCTGCTTTAGAGTGACCTGCAGGAAGCCAGGAGGGGAGGGGAGGTGCACTGATGTGTCCTGTTCTGTAATTTCACATTATTTAACACAGCAAGGTGCTCCACATCTCCTTTCTGTTCTTTTTTATAGGGTTACCAAATCCCTAAAGGTTGGAATGTTATTTACAGTATCTGTGATACACATGATGTGGCAGATCTCTTTACCAACAAGGAAGAATTTAACCCAGATCGCTTCATGTCTCCATCTCCAGAGGACTCCTCTAGGTTCAGTTTCATTCCTTTTGGTGGGGGCTTGAGGAGCTGCGTGGGCAAAGAGTTTGCAAAAGTCCTTCTAAAAATATTTACAGTGGAGTTGGCTCGGAGCTGTGACTGGCAGCTGCTGAATGGACCTCCTACAATGAAAACGGGCCCCATAGTGTACCCTGTGGACAATCTGCCTACCAAATTCATAGGTTTCAGCGGCCAAATCTGAGAGCTCAACACTCACCTCCAAATGGATTTCTATACAGCATTCAATATGTACATAGTAACTTTTTATAGTAACAAAGGCCTTTAAATATTTAAAACTTGTAAATGTACAATAGTTATTTATGTCTTCTAAGTATTTCAAGAGGCTATGATATTTTTCCCCCAAGCACTACAATTATGGGTCTCTGATTCATAATTAGATAATGTTATTTCTATAGAAATAAGTTTTCCCCTATTTAAAAATATCATTGAGAGCTGGCCAGCTAAGTATTTGAAGACATTTCAGGATGGTGTATGTATTAAGAAATATCCGAAAAGCATTCAAAACAACAGTAACTAGCTACTCATCCAAATTACCTGAAATGGTTATTGTTTGAGAATGTTTTCAGTATTATTTGTGTCTAGATTGTATGTTTAATGTGTGAATTTTAAGTTTGATAATAAAGTTTATTTTTGATGATCCTCTGTATGAAGATCTGTGTGTATGCTAGAGAGTAACCTAATGGATGTGGCTCAAGGGTTTGAATGTAAAGCCAGATCTGCTTCTGTCAACAAGGTATTTGCTATTTTTGTGTTCCTAACTCTTCCCTCCTTCATGTGTAGTTGCTCATGAGTAGTTAATTATTATAAATTTTAGCTTGTAAATGCAAGAACAGTACAAAACCACATGCTTGCTGAAAACTGCATGGAGTGATGGCAAGTGCTACAGGTTTCCTTATCAAGCACATCATGTTGAGCCACAGTAAATAAGAAAGAAAAGGAAAGCAAAATAATGTCACATAAGTCTTTCTCTGGAGCTAGCTGAGGAAAAAAAATCCATAAATGTCCTCTCCTCCCATATTACTGCTGACCTGTGTAAACACACCACTGAATCTTGTTCTGTGTTGAGCTTGCTGGCTATGAATCTTTACTTACGAAGGTGTCTCTTATCAGCTGGTAGAGCAAATAAAATCTGCTTATTTCTCCTTGAAATGCAACAGCTCTGACTAGGTCAGAGATGGAGCATGCATTTGGTTTAAGAACTTCTTTCCTGGAATTCAGCAAAGTGAAAACTAAAAGGCAGGCACTAATGTGAATTGATTAACAGAGAATCAACTGTTGAGATGCAATTCCCCAGGGGTGTGTAAGCAGGGCAGATAAAATGCCCTAGGCATGACCCCTATTTTGGCTTAACCATAAGGGGTTTTGTGGCCACCCCTGCTTACTGCACCTATTAGTCTTCCCTCAAAAGTCAAACAACATAGGCTGGCTCTATAAACATCTACAAAGTAAACCAATGTGATTCAGTGTCATGAGCACTCGTAGCACCATATAGAATAATTAAATTTTTTGTTTGCTTCTGGAAAACAGTCACTTTTTTATTATGTTCTCCCAAGATCAAAATTAAGGACAGAGCTAAGTTGCCCAAAATAGCTGCAGGTGCTTAATGGCATCTATGAAGTTTGGAATTTTTTAAAAGGGTGTTTCTATAATGCATTTTATATGCTTCCAGCAAGCCTTTTAAACATGGGAGCTTCTAACATATGGCTTTAGATACAGCCTACATATAACTATCAATTATATTTTATATTCAATTTTTCGCAGCCCCAAAATGCATTCTTTTTAAATTATACCTGAGTCTTCTTGACAATGTTTAAAATCTTAAATATTTTCTCCTGTGCAAACTTCTTGTACCATTATGTTTCTCAGAGACTTGACAAATAACCTCAGTTTAAGACCCCTTTATTACCAATATAGTGGTGGAAAATCGCAAACCTTGGTCCAGATTTGGAGGTGATCTGGAGTCTGGAGAAGAGCAGGACTCTTGTCTTGGTATTCTTTACTAACATTTTCTTCTGTAACATCAAAACATTCTCCAAATCCAAGTAGACGTCAATATTCTTTAAATGCTTTGTTTGGTTTTAATTAAACTCTTTTATATGTGGGAACTTTTTGCATGGTCTTCATATTATTTTAGTTTATATTTTATTTTTATAAAGAATGTGAACCTAAGTGCTGTCTGAAGAATACAAACACTTTCACAGTGTAAGTCTAAGGTCATACATGCAAGTCTTTCATTTTTGGTTTTGAGTCAAGTTTGCATGGCTTTTATGTTCGAAGAAGAAAAAAATCATATACTTAATTTGATTTTGTCTGGACATCTGGGGGCACATCCTCAGCTGCTGTAAATCATGACAACATAACCTATGTTAGGTACTGCCCCTGTAATAATTTATCTCTGTAGCTAAGCGGTCTGTCACTGCTGTGCAATTTAGGCATCCTGGAGCTAGCTTTAAACAAGCTATGCTGAGAAATGGGAGCAGTGCAGCTACAGTAAAACGGAGCTCAGTGTGGGTTAATTGCTGAAATATTTGCCCAACTTCTTGAGCAGGTTTTACAACCCCTGCTAATCTCCTGTATGCAGCTGTATTTTGACAGCTTGGATGCTGGCTGCAGACCAGTTTCAGGTGAGCTCTGCTGCGAGTGCAGCTTTGCCTGCTCAGCAGAGTCTGGGGTGGGCGCTTGCTGAGGCTGTGGTTGCTGTTTAGGTGCTGCCTGTCTGCTGCACCCTGAGCCCCCACCCTCTTGTAATGTTGGGTCCAGGAACTGATTCTGTTGAAAAATTGCCTATCAAAAAACTAATTGCTTTTTGGGCAAACCAGGTCCTCATTCCAGCTCCCCACATGAGCATAGTTTGTGCTGGGGTGCTGCACCAAGACAGGAGGAAGGGTATTTCATATTCCTCCTCTTGGTTAGCCTGTTATTTAAAAGAAAAATATTTGACCAGGTCTCTCTTCGAAAAATCACACACAATTTAGAAGGTGCTGTGCTTTGGTCCTGGAGTAAAAACCCACGATTTATATGTAGCATGCTGGTTCTTCCTCGAGGGTAAGGTGAGTTAAGAGGACCCACACTTCTCCTAAAATCATGTGAGTAACAGCTTCTGCCAGCCAGCATCTCTAAAGCCTAAAATTTCTGAGGTATCTGTTCAGTGCTGAATGTGTTGCTCTTAACAACACACAGTTGTATCTATTCTTTAATCAAAAGGACAATTAAGAATTACACTGATGTAAATTGGCATTGAGGAATGCCACTTGATAAATCAATACTTGATTGAAAGGTATGAGTATTTCCAGATAAGGTCAAAACAGGTAAAAGTGAATTTTGCTAATGGCTATGTGACTAAGAAAAAAAATGCTGAAGACTCATCGGAAATGATTAAAAATAACTTGATCAAGTTTATTTATTTTGTCCTTGTGAGACAGACATGTTACTTGCATGTTGCTTTCAGCAGTTGAGCTGGGAAAGATTTTCCTTTGTTATGATTCATAGATGCACCTATGCAAGGGACAATATAATTTGAAGTCTTGTCTGCTTAAGGCTTTGAATTTTATTTTATTTTATTTTATTTTATTTTATTTTATTTTATTTTATTTTATTTTATTTTATTTTATTTTATTTTATTTTATTTTATTTTATTTCCTTACATGAGTCTTTTCCTGGACCTTGCAAGATGAGAGGCAGACAAAAAGGTTTTCCTTATTTCTACCCCATTTCAATCAATATTGTTTGTTTTCTTATTTTATTCTGTTCAGTGATTTAGAATTAACCTTTGGAGAGGTACCAAGAAAAATACTTAATAATATGTAAAATAAGTCATCTTTGACTTTCAGGTTGTATTTTCTTACGTGCTATATAAAGTTTTAAAAAATGTTTTTACAAATCTGCATCTAGCCATCTTTGAGAAAAGAACACTGCTGATTTTTGTTAATTCTACACATCTGCAAAGGTTTTCAGGGTGGAAGCTGATAAAATAATATGCCTGTCTTTCAGAAACTAATATGCATAAAATTAGAACCCTGGATCCAATGGTCTATTTCTTTTTGGTTTTTTTAATAATTGAAATTGATTTTATGAGGTTTAAATTCTGAAAATTTGCCATTTATCTCAAAGGGAGCTGCACTGCTTAGACTCCCTGAAAATCCAATATTACTTTTGATACAGTCTGAACGCAGATTAAATAGCTCATGTGTAAGCAACATTTTTTGCTGAATTTCTTTACCTGAGTAAAGTAAAACAAATACTAAAAAAATACTATCAGTAAAAAATTATTGCTGAATTTCTTTACCTGAGAATTATTGCATATCATCTTTCCTAGAACAGTCTAAAAGAATTGTATGCAAGACTATTGGATCTTTTACAAGGCTATGCAGGACATTTGCATAAACCAAGCTTCAATCTACTGACTTTTGCAAAGATTTAAAAATTAAAAATGCAGACACAAATCTTGTGTTTGAGATATAATGCTGGTATGTTCCAGACCCAAATTAGTGAATTTATTTATGGCTTAAAGGTACTATTTTACATGTAGTTGTCCTCTATTATAACAAAAAAAGGTTTGCATAGCATTTAATTGAGATAGTTTTGTTTGCCAGGTGGTTTGTATTGTAAATTCTTTGTCAAGTTTTACATCCAGCATGCAATGCAAAACATATACAGATTAGCAGCAAAAATTCAAAAAGTTTATTAGTTGCAACCATTAGAGTGATAGATTAGGAGAAAGGAAATGTAACTGGCAGCAAGTTTAGAGAAGACTCATTACTAGACTGGCTTGCTTCACTTGTTTAATAATGCCTTACAAAAAATGTTATATGAGAAGTTCAATGAATAATGCTGCCTTCATTAAGTTATGTAAATGAATGTAGCTTCGTGGGTGGGTTAGAAATAAAATATTTAACAAATCTGTTTACATCCAAAGAGTAAAAGCAGCGGAAACAGCTTTTAAAGAATCTGAGATTTAAATATTTAAAAGGTGACAGACAAGACTTTCATAGTAGGATATAATAGTGCTGTTTTAATAGGTGTTTACAGCTTGCCTCTCAGTTGCAACATAAGCAGGGCAAGATATTAAGTATTCTCAGTTAATTAAAGTGTTATTTGTCCCTTTATCAGCAGTCCCAACATTGCAGTTTCACTTGTATGCTGTTAGTGCCCCGGAGACATGCAGAGCTTGTGTGATTTGCAAGGCTGGAAGGATCATTTTAGCAAA